CTTGAGCCACAGGTGCCGAGCCACTATTTTTAATGTTGATAAGTTATTAAGTGGATAGAAAGAAAAATTTCTCTTCAGTGTTAATCATCAAAAAATATCTTTCGAAAGCTGGGATGTTAAAGGGAAAAAGTCTATGGAGACAGAGAGAACATCCACATGACAGAAATGTGTTCATTTTCCTGACCAGTGACAGAAAAAAGAGTGACACTGCCTCCAGGTACAGCAATCCTCCCTCAGCCTTCCAGCTCTAGAGCTCTGCACTCACGCACATCCCAGCAATGCCCTGTTGTGGAAGAACTTGGCAGTCATTTCTTGGTGCAAAATACTGAATTGATGTTAAAAAATAAAGTCAGTTTTTTCAGAAAAACCCAGCTGCATATCCTAGTTTTCAAAAAACTGAGAACGCACCCGCATGGCACGGGATATTTAGGAAAACCCAGCAGCCAAAAAAGTCTGGACTGTCCAGAGTGCCATCAACTGGCCAGCCGGCCGTGCGCTCTCCAGGGTGCTGAAGCCTGCACCAGCCCAGCTGACTGACACTGCAGCTCCATCTCCTGGATGCCTTGGGGTCAACATCACCCCTGCCTGTGCCAGCCCAGTCAGAATGGAGTCCCAGGACTGGGGTGTGTGACAGCCTCTGGCAATTCCTTGTCACATTCTCTACCTCTCTAATTGTGATGCCTCTTGGCAGGCAAACCATGTCTTCCACTGGACAGTACAGGTTACTAAAATTCTGACCACAGCTGGGCAGTGACCAGCAGGCCAGGAGACACATTTAATCCCCAGGAGAAGAGAAAGGTCATCTGTCACCCCTACAACACACCACTTTCAACCTCACTCCTGCCAATTTATTGCAGCAAAAGGCAGACAAACTTTAAACATGTTGCATTTCATTTTGACATGCTGCTCTTTCTTGGATCACCAGGGGGCGTGTAGCACTGTACCTTCAAACCTCCGGTGACTGTCATAGTCCTCAGAGCAGGGCACCTCGATGAATCTGCCTGCCAAGACCTCAGCACGGGGAGCCAGCACCTCAGTGATGCTGTCGTCAGCCCCCAAACTGCTCCACAGCAGGAACGCAGAGAGTGCCATGCTGGCCCCTAGGCCCGCGGTCCTCAGCCACATCCTTTGTGCCTCCCGTGACTCCTGATCCCTCTTGGTGCTAGAAATGGAAGACATACCCATCATCACCCAAAAGCAGCTGTGTGTGCTGACATCACAGACCAAGCTGATCATGACCACCTCTGGCCCTGCCTGTGCTAACCTTTGGTCGAGATGAGCCCCAGTCAACTCAGAAGCTGCCATTGCACTTGCCAGCTGCTCAAGGTGGCTGCCAGTGAAGCGGGTAGTAGGAAATGGAGCAGATAGATTGCCTGAGCTGAGGAGTTTGAGACCAGCCTGAGCCAGAGCAAGACCCGTCTCTAAAAATAGCCAGGCGTTATGGCAGGTGCCTATAGTACCATCTACTCAGGAGGCTGAGGCAAGAGAATTGCTTGAGACCAAGAGTTTGAGGTTTCGGCTCGGCGCCTGTGGCTCAAGTGGCTAAGGCGCCAGCCACATACAACTAAGGTGGTGGGTTTGAATCTAGCCCCGGCCCGCCAGAAACAACAATGACGGCTGCAACCAAAAAATAGCCAGGTGCCTATGGTCCCAGCTGCTTGGGAAGCTGAGGCAGGAGACTTGCTTGAGTCCAGGAGTTGGAGTTTGCTGTGAGCTGTGATGCCAGAACACTCTACCCAGGGGGACAGTTTGAGGCTCTGTCTCAAAAAAAAAAAAAAAGAGTTTGAGGTTTCTGTGAGCTGTGACACCACAGCACTCTACCCAGGGGGACAAAGTAAGAGTCTGTCTCAAAAAAACCAAAACAAACAAAAAAAGAATTTGATGAAAAACACAAGGGGGATGCTTTCCAGGTCTGGGCACAAGTTCCCAGTCTGTGGGGGCTGCATCAACCGGTGATTTGTCCTACAACAGCGGTCCCCATGCTTATTGGCACCAGGAACAGGTTTTAAGGAAGTTTATCCACAAAGCTGGGGAGTTCATTTCAGGATGACCCAAGCACATCACAACTGCACCTCAGATCATCAGGCATTAGATCCCCATCAGGAACCACAACCCAGATCCCTGCATGTGCACTTTATAGTAGGGTTTCTGCTCCTGTGAGAATCTAATGCCACCTCCTATGTGGCAGGGGGTGGTGCCAGCGATGGGGAGCAGCTGTGAATACAGAAGAAGCTGCACTTGCCCCCTCCTGCTCACCTCCAGCTGTACAGCCTGGTTCCTGATGGGCCATAGGACCAGTCAATGCCCTGGGTGGGCGACTGCAGCCCTAGAGTGATTAAAATACATCCTTTATGAAAGCCAAGCAGTAAGCTGGAAATTTACTAATTTATCCAGCCATCCACCAGGGATCTTCATGAGTAGTCCTGAGAAAAGCAGATGGGATGAGACATGGGGAGCCTAGAGATACCATCCAGAGTGACAGACCATAGCACTGAGAGGGGGCCAGGGAAGCTTTCCTCATGGGGACACCCAGGCAGAGGAAGGGACCATTGCCAGGGTGTGGTGATGGGAAATGGTTCAACACTGCTAGGGAGCAAAGCCTTGGCAGAGGCACATGAAGGGGCATGTCCCAGGGGGGCACATGTCCTAAAAAGGTACCCAGCATTCCCCCAACCATAAAAAAGCACAGTATTCTCTGTGGGCCTCATCCCACAGCATCCTGAAACAAGGGCCTCCAGATGAGGAATGGTCCTGTCCACTCAGGATATGCAGACATGACCCATCCTTTCCTCCTTGGTTGCTTCTAACACACACTGATTGTGTCCTGATCAACAGGTTTGAAAAACACTATAATGGACTTTCTCATGGGATTTAGGTCAGGGGAAAAATAGAAGAAAGACCAGACATGCTCTTTATAAAGGCCATTTTAGTATTAGACATTTTACAAAAAAAGAGGGATTTAAAAAAAGAGTTTGCTGGCTCGGTGCCTGTGGCTCAAGCGGCTGGGGCGCCAGCCATATACACCTAAGGTGGCAGGTTCGAATCCAGCCCGGGCCCGCCAAACAACAATGACGGCTGTAACCAAAAAAAAAAAAAAAAAAAATAGCCAGGCATTGTGGCGGGTGCCTGTGGTCCCAGCTACTTGGGAAGCTGAGGCAGGAGACTTGCTTGAGCCCAGGAGTTGGAGGTTGCTGTGAGCTGTGATGCCACGGCACTCTACCCAGGGTGACAGCTTAAGGCTCTGTCTCAAAAAAAAAAATTGCTAAAACTTAATTAAAAAATGAAAAGACTTTGCTTAGCAAAAGTGGACAGAAAGGGGGCCCCTGGGGTGCTGCCTCTAGGCTAGGTGGTAATGATGGAGGCCTTGACTCTTTGGTGGCCCCGAAGACTCAACCACTAGAGGAAGGTCATTTTCAGCATGGGGTGTCAGTGAGCTCTTTTCTTATGAAATATATGTGTCTGGGCTCTGTGCCCCTAGCACAGTGGTTACAGCATCAGTCACATACTCTGAGGCTGGCGGGTTTGAACCTGGCCCAGGCCTGCTAAAACAACAATGACAACTGTAACAAAAAAATAGCTGGGCATTGTGGCGGGCACCTGTAGTCCTAGCTACTTGAGAGGCTGAGGCAAGAGAATTACTTAAGCCCAAGAGTTTGAGGTTGCTGTGAGCTATGACGCCATAGCACTCAACATAAGACTCTGTCTCAAAAAAAAGAAATGAAATGAAAAGAAATATATGTGTCTGTTACAAGAAGGCATTAGGCCACCCCACCACTGAGAGCAGAGGGGCTTCCAGACACACGTATTGCCAAAACATGAATAAAGATTCCTGTAAAGTATATTAGGACAGTTTTCTTTTTTAACACATAGAGATTTATTTTTCTCCAACAACAGTAAATAGAGAAAAAGTTTGTGTTTCCCACTCAGACTTGGAAAATACTTGTCTGCTTTTGAGCATTATTAGCAAACTGAGACACATGGATTAGCCATCTGAGTATCTGCTTAAAGCCTAAGGGTACTTTTTTTGGGATATTGTTTTTCTAGAAATGGTTAGGGCAAAGTTCTAAGCAACAGTCATTTCAGGATGCTTTTCTATCTGGATAAATATAACATTCCATATTAACCATTCATTACTGCCAAAAGCTGTTAGTATTTCAGAAAATTTACAACTGGATTTTTAAAAATTTATTAATTGAATATCTTCAACATTATTATTAAATAAAAAGGATAAGTTTATCCACAAAATATTCTTTTAGTGAGATTTCTTTTTGGGGGAAAGGAGGAATACTTACAACCAATCTGTAGAAGATGCAAACTTAGTAAAATTATAGTTGCAGACCAGCATGAGGCATTTGAGATGTTATCCGACAGAAACCAACAGTAACTGAGACAAAACAGGGATAAGAATCTCAAGAACAAACCATCAGGTTTAAAAGTTACCATAAGCTGGGCCTGGTGGCGTACCTGTGATTCTGGCTACTCAGGAGGTCAAGACAGGAGGATTGCTTGACCCTAGGAGTCTGAGATCAGCCTGGGTTACACAGTGAGATCCAGCCTCTAAAATCATTTTTTAAAGTTATTGTAGCCTTTTTAAGACTAAAATAATCTCCCTGATAGTTTTTTTAACTGATGATTTCTAAATATGTAGCTTATCAATAAAATGGAATTAGGCAATCCCTCAAAGAGCAAAATATAAAGGAAGCAAACAGGTTTTTTGCATGCTGAAAGACCTTTCAGTAATAATTACAAACTAACCACCTTCTGTATGATTTTAAAATTTTAAAACTAAGCCATTCCCCATAGCCTTCTAAAATCTGCTACATTTCTGGGAAAGCAGGCTTTGTAGTTTAAAGTGAAGGTGGCTGTCATCCAGGTGGGCAGGTGCACCTGCAGTCCCAACTGCTTGGAAGGCTGAAGAGGGAGCATCGCTGCAGCCCAGGAGTTCGAGGCTGCTGTGAGCTGTGAATTTTAACTACAGCCATAACCTTAACCCTGTCTAAAAAAAAAAAAAACAGCGAAGGTGGATTAAAGGTCCCGGCTGCAGCACAGACTGTTCAGGCTGCTAGTTTGAAGTCAGTGTCTACCTGGAAGCCAAGCACAACAGGTTCCACTGAGCAGCAGCAGCTCAGCAGGGGGCATCAAAAGCTTCCACTCTTCCTCCACTACTCTAGAGTCCAGGCGAGCGTCTGTGATCTATCCTCTATCCTCTGTCTGCACTGGGACCTCGATCCTCCCCCAACTCTGCTTCCAAACAGAGGCCCCGCCCCGGTGATAAAGCCCCGCCCCTCCTTTCCAATGAGGCCACGCCTAGTACACGGCCCTGCCTCATTGGCTTCCGCCCACACCTCTACTTCGCACGCGTCAGGCATCGCGCATTGTATGGCCCCACCCGGTAGGACCCCGCCCCCGCAGCGGTCCTGCTCCTTTCCTGCCTAGTCCCACCCTGCCGCTCTTGCCTCCGCCCCGTCAGGCCAGCCCCGCCCCTGCCGGCCTGGCCCCGCCCCGCCCGCCGCCGCAGCCTGAGCCTTTTGCACTCTTCGCTACCTGCTTGGGCGTCGGCGCTCCGCGGTCCCGCTGCGCTCAGACGCCTTGGTTGCGCCCCTCCGCTGAGGTGCCATCGGGCCAGGCCGCCGTGGAGCCGGGTGGGACGCGGGAGCTGCAAGGCCAGAGAACGAGCGCGGCGACGAAGAGCGCGAGGAAGGCGCTAAGCGGGGACGCGGGAGCGACTCGCTCGGCCATCCGCCCCGGGGCTGGCGGCCAGGCCCGAGCAATCGGTGGCCGAGCGGCGCGGGCGGGGCCTCGTTGGAACGGAGCCCAGCCTAGGCCGCCAGGTGCGAGAGGCTCACCTGAGCGCTGCCCAGGCGGTCCGCCAGGGCCTGCGGCCGCTGTCCCCAACAGCCCTCCACCCCTAGGCGGCCTGGACTGAGTCGTGCAGCTGAGTGGAGTGCGGGCCGTCGGGCCCGCACCTGTCAGATCCGCATATGCCCTTGTTGCGCCCTCACCTGTCACGCCCTCACCTTTCAGACCTGCAGGCGCACCTACCGTGCCCACCACTTGCCTTGACCCGTACCTGCTGCTCTGTACCTGCCACATATGCCCTGTCGGACTCGCACCTCCCACACCAGTCGCTTCCCTGGAGTCCCAAGTGCAGCGCCTGGACCCGCCGACGTGTGGCTTTCCGCAGAGCCCCTTTGCCTCATTCGCGCAGGTGAGGCCTCCCCGCTGCTCCTGCCCCAGTGCGTGGGGCGACCTGGGTTTTGCTTGGTTGGGGCAGACTTCTCAGCTCCAAAACTTTTCCTTGAAATCTGTTCCCTGCAAAGTAGATTTGGTTTGAAGACTTTCAAACAGTTATGCTTTGAAACCATCACATTTTCTCAGAGCTTTTTCACAGATCCTGTCCATCCTGCAGATAGTAATTGGGTAACTGTCTTGAGAATCTTGGCATTGAGATTGTTAGTAAAAACTGTATATGATTTTTTAAATCAAAACGGATGGTTTATTTGTGCATCTGCTTCTCCTCTGCTGTATTATGCATTCCGTAAGGTCAGGAATTTATGTGTCCTTGAACAAAACAAGTTACTGAAGGTTGGGTTACTGAACTGGGTAACATGCAAAGATTTTCTTTCCTTTTTCCTTCTTGTCCTTTTGTGCTTTTAAAATAGACAGAAAAGAAATTTTGCTTTTTCCCAACTGCTTGTCATCCAGATACTTCTTTTGTAATTCAAACAGAACTGAAAACTGAAAGTGTAAGAGAAAGTGCTGGAGAAACTTCTGCCCCTGTTTGTGACTTGGATCTTCTCTATTAGGAAGAAGCACCCAGACAAGTAATTTTGCTGTAGAAATTCACAAAAAAAAATTGAAATGTCAGATTCCACACCATTTGCGATGAGACTGGTTCATCTGGACCTTAAAGGAGCACCGCCAAAGGTCTCGTACCTCTCAAAGGTGAGAACTCTCTTTTACCTCTAAAGAATCACTTTTTGTCCTGGGTTCAATCTTTAAAGTTCTGAGCAGTACTCTGGGGAAAAGGGTGCTTAGAACACAACCATGAGGTAGTAGGTGGGGAGAAGATGGTGACAGCAGTTTTGGTTTTGAATCAAAGCAACAGAGATAGCAAAAGGAAAAAAGGGACAAAAGAAAACCTTCTTTGTTATGGGTTGGATTGTGTCCCCCCAAAAAGATGCGTTCAGACCTTAACTCCTGGTACCTGTGAATGTGACATTATTTGGAAATACAGTCTTTGCAGATGTGATCAAGATTAGGTGAAGTCATACTAAAGTAAAGTGAGCCCAGTCCAGCGACCGGTGCCTCATAAGGAGGGGGAGTTTAGACAGAGAAGCTACACACAGGGAGGACAGTATGCAGACACCTGCATGCTGATGGGGACAGAGATCGGAGGGAGGCATTCTCAAGCCAAGAAGGATTTTGCTCTGGAGCCTTCAAAGAGAGGCTGCCATCTCTTGGGTTTGGGCTTCTGGCCTCAAACCAGAAACCTTGGGTTTCTGCGAAAGAAAACGTTTCTGTTGTTACTGTTTGTGGTCATTTATTACAGCTGCTCTAGTAAGCTAAAACATTCTTCAAGAACCGGGTGTCATAGTTACCTCTATGGACTCCTAAATATAAGTAGGTGGGGCCAAACCATAGACAGTGTAACACCCATGAAGGGTTAGCAAAGCAAGAGGTGGTAGAGGAAAGAGGGGAATGTCAACAGTGCTGTGACCATAGCACCCAGAAAATAGTCCCAGAAGTAAAGTCTCCCATAGCAATAAAATATGGAAAGCTTTTACTGGCTCCAGTTTGAAATGAGTGCAAAAAGATTCAAAAGATGGTATGGGGAAGTCCCAAGGCTGCTGAGCTCTCGGAAATACTTAAAGGAACTTCCTCGCAGAAGAACAGAGCCCCACACTAAAGACAAAATGTTAGGAAAAGCATCCCCATTGAACTTGGAAAGAACACCAAAGATAAAAAAGAGAGACTGGACTCGGCGCCTATAGCTCAACTGGCTAAGGCGCCAGCCACATACACCTAAGGTGGCGGGTTCGAATCCCCAGCCCGGACCCGCCAAACAACAATGATGGCTGCAACCAAAAAATAGCCGGGCGTTGTGGCGGGCGCCTGTGGTCCCAGCTACTGGGGAGGCGGAGGCAGGAGACTCGCTTGAGCCCAGGAGTTGGAGGTTGCTGTGAGCTGTAATGCCATGGCACTCTGCCCAGGAGGACAGCTTGAGGCTCTGTCTCAAAAAAAAAAAAAAAGAGAGACTGTTCAGATACTGGGAGAAAGGGGCCAGAGGAGGCAGAGCTCAGAGAAGTCCAAAATGCAAAAGTAGCTGCACAGAGCCTATAATTTCTAATTCTTTATGGCAAGAGTAGAGGACGGACTGGCCCATCTCTATTCTGAACATAAGAACCTGTTCTTAAAGGTGAGCAGCAGAAAAGGAGTGTCATCAAATGGCATATAAGACCCATGAGAGAAAAGAAGACAGTGGCCTGGCTGGCCCTGTACCACCGAGCTGATGGCACAGGACCAAACATGGCAACATGAAACAGAAGATATTGAGAAAACAGCAGAAGTTCTGAGAAAGCAGTACAAATCAGAAATAGAGAAGCCCAGAAATATGGTAACAAGACAAAAGAGGATGTGACAAGATTGCCTGTGGAACTCAGGAATTAATTATAAAGAATAATTTTGTTTAAAAATGAATATTAAGGCTCGGTGCCTGTAGCTTAAGTGGCTGAGGCGCAAGCCACATATACCTGAGCTGGTGGATTTGAATCCACCCCAGACCCACCAAACAACAATGATGGCTTCAACCAAAAAATAGCCGGGTGTTGTGGTAGGCGCCTGTAGTCCCAGCTACTTGGGAGGTGGAGGCAGGAGAATGGCTGGAGCCCAGGAGTTGGAGGTTGCAGTGAGCTGTGATGCCACAGCACTCTACCCAGGGTGACAGCTTGAGGCTCTGTCTCAGAAAAAAAAAACAAAGAATACTAAATTAGTAGAAGCACAAAAGTGAACACACACCATGGAAAGTACAGTATTTGAAAATAAATGACAGAAAAGAAAAAAATCAAACATGTAGAGATGAAAAAGCATCCTGACAAACTGAGAGTGACAGAATGCAGGCAAAGACACCCAGCTCACATGTCACGGAAGCCGCTGTTCAGTGACCTGCAAAGTGGTTGGAAAAAAACAAAGGAAAACAGGAAATGATGTTGTCATTACATCGTTTATCCAGATGTGACCAACCTGGGTTAGATCACATCTTCCCATTTCTCTCTGTCTCCTTTTATGATTTGCAGTCAATTATTGATTACCCATTTAATGAAAAATCTACAGCTAGGGCAGTGCCTGTAGTTCAGTGGTTAGGGCTCCAGCCACATACACCAGGGCTGGCGGGTTTGAACCTGGCCCAGGCCTGCTAAAACAACAATGGCAACTGCAACAAAAAATAGCCAGACATTGTGGCAGGTGCCTGTAGTCCCAGCTACTTGGGAGGCTGAGGCAAGAGAATTGCTTAAGCCAGAGAGTCTGAGGTTGCTGTGAGCTGTGACTCCACGGCACTCTACCGAGGATGACATAGAGTCAGCTAATTTTTAATCCCAGACTGACACCAACCTTCAATTCAGCTCTAGAACTTTTCTGTTTGTGGGGAAAGGAAAACTGTGACAATGATCTCAACAAAAGAATGTTACAAATCTTAGGAAACATATGAACAACCTGTATTTGGAGATTGGCACAGCCCAGAAACAGGCAAGCCAAGGCTGCCCCTCCTCGGTGCCGCTGGCCCTTCTGAGCCCTGTTCTTCCCGGTTTTGTGCCTGGGAGTGTCCACTAGTCTGGCTACCCCATGTCACTGTGTCCTAGGTGAGGAGTGGCTTTGCAGGGACATCCTGCACCTAAGCCACAGACAGACTGGCCATTAGGACCAGCTCTGCTGTGCAGCCTGTTACCCCTCCTGGAAAAAGCAGGTATGTCATTGGATTAGACAGTTTGGTATTACATAAAGTACACATTTTCCAGGTTTAAAGTTTCCAGGGAAATGAGTGTTAGTCCCCACAGGCTAAAAGGAAAGCGACTCTTCTGCTGTGTCAGTGTGTGTCTGAAGGGATCACTTCTTCCTAACATCCCCGTTCCCCCTAGGTCTTTCCTCTGTTCCGTGCACTAGGTGCTAATGGCCTCCTCGTGGAGTATGAAGACATGTTTCCCTATGAGGGTCCCCTGAGGCTGCTGCGGGCCAAGCATGCCTACAGGTAACTCCAGGGAGGGGCTGCCAGGAATGTAAGTGTGGAGTATATGTTCCTTTTCTGTGTTTTTAAGTGTGTCTTAACTATATAATTAAAACATGGTTGTAAAAATAAAACACACTCACTGAAGAGAGTTTAGAAACTTCAAAAAAGGAGGTTGGAGAGCTTTGATTTCTACCTTGGTGAAGGTCACCAGAAGGGGAGGTGGCTGTTCTGTAAAACCACAGCTGGGTCTCAGGTTGAAGGGGAAAGGACTGAAATCAATGAAGTCAGGTGTAGAGATAGGCGGTACCTGCTCAGCTTTAGCTGGACCCGGCCGAGTTCAAACCCACCAGCCTCGGTGCATGTGGCCAGCACCATAACCAGTATGCTACGGGTACCACGCCCTGCTGAGCTTTAAAATTACAGATCTCTGTAAATCAACACAAATATTCCAAAAGACACGTGGGCAAAGGACATTAACTGGCATTTCCCAAAGGAAGAAATAAAAATGGCCAATAAGCATATGAGAAAATGTTGAACATCACAATAATTGAAGAAGTTAAAACAATGTGGTGGCCAGGCATGGTGGCTCATACCTATAATCCTAGCACTCTGGGAGGCCAAGGTGGGTGGATTGGTTGAGCTCACGAGTTCAAGACCAACTTGAGCAAAACCAAGACCCACGTTTCTACTAAAAATAGAAAAACTAAGGAAGAAGGATCTCTTGAGTTGCTGTGAGCTATGGCACCACCACACTCTATCCAGGGTGACAGCTTGAGACTCTGTCTCCAAAAAAAAAAAAAAAGCAATATGGTACCCTCCTAGCTACCTAATTGGAGTATACCATGTTTCCCCGAAAATAAGACCTACCCAAAAAATAAGCCCTAGCAGGATTTCTATGCATTTGTTAAGTATAAGCCCTACCCCAATAATAAGACCTAGTGATGGGTGTGGCTATGCAGTGTATCTGTATAACAGAGGAAGATATCCCCTAAAAATAAGCTCTGGTGTGTCTTCTTGAGAAAAAATAAATATAAGACAGTGTCATATTTTTGGGAAAACATGGTAGCTCCCACCCTACAACCCTCCAGGAGAGTTCAAGTTCAGAGAGACTTTAAAAGCCTCTGTGAGGCTCAGAGCCTGTAGATCATCAGCTAGGGCGCCAGCCACATACACTGGAGCTGGTGGTTTGAACCCAGCCAGGGCCTGCCAAACGACAATGACAAACTAGAACCAAAAAAATAGCTGGGTATTGTGGTGAGTGCCTGTAGTCACAGCTACTTGGGAGGCTGAGACAAGAGAATCGCTTAAGCCCAAGAGTTGGAGGTTGCTGTGAGCTGTGACAAGGGCGACATAGTAAAACTCTGTCTCAAAACAAACAAAAAAGCCTCTCCAAACTCTCCCAGAGAGTAGTGGGAGCTGTACCCCAATTTTGTGGCTGAGATGGCACCTCATGGTTGTTTTAACTTCTTCTAATTAATAACATTTATATAACTGAATAACCTAAGAGATGTTTCAAACACATGTAAAAGTGAGAAACTGCTTTCTTTTTTAGATAAATTCATAATCTCACGATGTAACTTGTGAAAATGAAAAGGTCAGTCCTTCCGAGGATGTGACCCTCTTATAGTGGAACATTGGCCTGAAGGGACCCATTCCTAGGTTGAGGGCTCTATAAAAACAGGTGCCAGGTGCATTTGTCCTCGGGCTGGTCAGCTGCTCCTGCGAGTGACATCATCCTCCTGTGTAGTTTGGTTAAGAACAACTGGTGAAATGCAAACTTTTACTGAGGGTATAATAGAGTGTCTTTCCTCCAAATTCCAGAATAGGGGCCTTCCCTGCAACCTTGAGGATATCTGTAAAGCTTTGCAGAGTTAGCAGCCTCATGGTTTCAGGAAAGCCCTGCAGGGTCTAACCAGGAAGGGCTGGGGAGGGTGCTGTAGTTGGCTAACCACCCTGGCTCAATGCTCTCTCTAGCCCCTCTGAAATCAAAGAGATTCTGCGTCTGGCTAGGATGAATGAGCTGGAGGTGGTTCCCTTGGTTCAGACATTTGGACACATGGAGGTGAGTAGCAGGAATGGAAGTTACTGGTGTTGGGGTGGGGTCTGGGACCCCCAGGCTGGCGTGGGTTAGGGAAGCCTCCACCTGAGGCTGGAAGGGGGAGCCCTGGGGCCAAATGGATTTTCCTTTTTAATTTATATTCATAAAAATATTGTTGCGTGAGGTAAAAGACCACACTATGCTTTGCACTTTCTGTTTGCATTTTTTTTCACTTTAATATTGAAAATATTTTCCCAGGCCCCTAAGTGATCTTCAACAATCTTTCATGTCTGCATCAAACAAACAGAAAACAAATTAAACACAACATTGATTGAGTGGCTTGCAGGGTCCACTTCTCTGACCAGTGTCCAGAGGAGATTTATCAACAGTCCTGCCCTACTCATCTTCGTACCTGTGCTGGGCAGAGAAGGTGGCTTGGCCTGGAGTGCTGCCCAGTGTCTGGGCTTCTTATATGTAGCTTCTTGAAATGACCAACTGTTCCAGCACCGTTTGTTGAAAAACTGCTTTCTTCATGGAATTGCCTTTCTACCTTGGTACCATATCCCAAGGTTGATTTCTAGACTCTGTCCTGTTGGATACGTGTGTCTTCCCTTTGCTAACCCATATTATCTGTAGCTTCCTCATCAGTTCTGAAGTTAGGAAGTGTAATGCCTCAGACTTTATTCTTCTCCCCGAAGGGTGGTTGGACTAGTCTAGTTCCTTTGCCTTTCTGTGTGTATTTTCGATTTGCTCTGTCCATGTATCTGTAAAACCTTGCTGGGATTTTGACCGGAATTGGGCTAACTCTGTAAATCAGTTTGTTTTCAGTCATGACACGATGTTGTCAGCCACTAGTTGTTTTTATTGCCCTGAACATGTTGTCTTTTTTTTTTTTCTTGGTGCTTTTGATATTTTCTCTTTACATTTGCCTTTCAGCAGTTTGATTATGATGCGTCTAGATGTGGTTCTCTTTGCTTTTATCCTACTTCAGGTTTGTTGATTGTAGAACTGTAGATTGTTTTTCACTACTGTGTGAAGTTGTGGCTGTTTCTACAGGTGTTTTCTCTGCTCCCTCCTCTCTGTTCTCCTTCTGAGTCCCCTCTTGTGTGACATCTCACAGGCCTCTCTTCCCTTTTCTTCTTTTTTTCTGTTATTCAGATTGAGTAATTTTTGTTGCTATATTGTCACAACCAGTGAATCTAATGACATTTCAAATCTGCTACTCACCACCCAAATGGATACTTTTCTTGAATTCTTGGAACTTACCTTTGAAATATTTGTCTGATAAATCCCACCTGGGGCCATTCAGAGTTAGTGTTCATTGACTGGGTTTTTCCTGAGTCTGGGTCACAATTTCCCAGTTTATTTGTACATCTCATAATTTTTGGATGCGAACTGGACACTTCAAATAACATTCTAGCAAACCTGAATTTTTATTTTATTTATTTATTTTGTAGAGACAGAGTCTCACCTTATCACCTTCGTAGAGTGCTGTGGCATCACACACTCATAGCAACCTCCAACTCCTGGGCCCAGGCAATTCTCCTGCCTCAGCCTCCTGAGCAGCTGGGACCACAGACACCCACCACAATGCCCAACCATTTTTCTGTTGCAGTTTGGCCAGGGCCGGGCTCAAACCTGCCACCCTCCGTACATGGGGCCAGTGCCCCCCACTGAGCCACAGGTGCTGCCCAGTATTTTATTTTTTGAGACAGAGTCTCACTATGTTGCCCTCAGTAGAGTAGAGTGGTGTCACAGCTCACAGCAACCTCAAACTCTTGATTCTCTTGCCTCAACCTCCCAAGTAGCTGAGACTACAGGCACCCACTACAACACCTGGCTATTTTTGTTGTCATTATTGTTAGCAGGCCTGGGCCAGGTTTGAACCCGCCAGCTCCTGTGTATGTGGCCAGCACCCTACCCACTGTGTGGTGCCAAGCCCTGAATTTTTATTTTCATCCCTAAGTGGTGATAGTAGTTGTGCTGATCTCTGGCAAGTTGCCTGCATTCCATCTGCAGGACCCATCACTTCAGCTGTGGGCAGCCACTGGCGCCTCTGCTTAGTTTGCTTGCTTTTATTCTTGTTTTTGCCTGGCCTCCTGGAATCACTCCTTTTCCTTCATGCTGGTGGTCAGCCCTGGGTTTGAGAGAGGTTCAGCTCAAATACCTGGTACCCATGAGGCCTCCACCCCCGCCAGGGGCTGTGATGGGTACAGCCAGCCCTTGTGGCTGCCTCTGCTCACATCTGGCCCCCTCAGGTCCCCAGGTGTGTGGCCCGATCAGCCACAGGTGTGAGGCGAGTGTGCATTGCCCTTTGGGTCACCACAGGGGCTGTACCTTCTGACCAGCGGTGGATGGAGTGTTTTCTCCACCTTGTTTTTACCAGTTTTGAGTCTAGTGTCTTTCCTGGAGTTACAGTGTCTTTCATGAATAAATACTTTGACTGTATTCTTCACCTTTGGTTGATTTCCAGAGCTCTGAAGGGCTGTTCTGTCCCTTTCTGTCCTTACTGTGCCAGAAAGGTGCCTCTCGGCACCAAGGCCTAGAGTGGCAAGCTCTGCCTGCAATTTTGGAGGCAGGTGGAGCTTGGCTTTGCACAGCCCTCTCTCTCACTGGGTGGAGGCAGAAGGTTGGGCCAAGCTGGGAGCAGGTCCCAAGTGTGCCTCTTGCACCCTGGAGCTCTGCCTCACTGAAGACTAGGGAGCCACCCTGCTGCCGGCTGATTCTGAGCAGAAGCCCAAGGTGGGTAGAAGGAGCTCGGCACCAGCCTCTCCCGACCCAGCCTCACAAGTCCCCATGTCTCCACAGTTTGTGCTGAAGCACTTGGCCTTCGCCCACCTCCGGGAAGTGGCGTCCTTCCCCAATACCCTGAACCCCCACGAGGCAGAGTCTCTGGCCCTGGTAGGAGCCATGATCGACCAGGTCCTGGAGCAGCACCCAGGTACTCGGCGGCTCCACATTGGGTGTGATGAGGTAGGTGCCCTTGTCCCCAAATCCTGCCACAGTCGTCTTGCCTTGACTATCAGGTCACCTCTTAAATCATGGTTTCTCTTTGTAAATACAAAATAGTTCAAGGACCAAAGAATAAAGACAGGGTTTGCTGAGGAGACAGCCCCTGTTGGGGAGCCTGTTCCAGCCTCCTCCTTCAGGAGGACAGATGGCCTGACACAGGGCAAACCTGCACAGCCTGCCAAAGACACCCCCGTGATCGGCTGAGACTGCCAGAGGTGGCTGTGCTGCCCCTGACAACTCAGAGCCATCACTAGCTATGGGCAGGTTCCATAAGGAGAGGAAAGAAGTAAATCTGCGTATGTGTGTCAAAATATACATACCATAAAACTCACCATTGTGACCATTTTAAAGTACATACTGGAGTACTTTTTGGTGTTTCAACAAAAAAACACTGTAGGAGATGGACCCAGCATGGCTCCTAACTCCGCACAGCTGTGCAGTGTCATGCAGCCATCACCACTGTGTGGTCCCAGAGCCTATGTGGCACCCCAGACAGAAACCCATGTCCAGACACCTGTCCCAGCAGCCACCAATTCTGGGCACTTTGCATAAATGGAATCTTAGAATATGTGGCCTGAGTGTCTGGCTTCTTTTCCTCACACGATGTTTTTAAGATTCATCTGTGATGAAGCCTGTGTCAGAACTTCATTCCCTTTTTAAGAAAATAATAATAATAATCCCATTGCATGGACGGACTGCGCTGTGTCCACTTGTTTTTGCCCTATGTGAATCTTGAGCACAGCTGCCGTGAATACTCAGAGGCTGCCCTGTGTGGAGCTGAGCCCATGTAGAAGAGGCTCTGAGCTCCTCCCTCAGCCTGCTCCCCACACCAACTGCCCCAAGACTTGGGACGGTGTGTGAACTGCTGGACCCACTGGTGCAGGCGGTGCTGACAGCCCCTACAGGGGCAACTCAGCCCATTGTTCCTTCCAGGTCTATTACCTGGGAGAAGGAGAGGCCTCAAGACAATGGCTGCAGCAGGAGCAGAACAGCAAGGTGAAGCTGTGTCTGTCCCACATAAGGGCAGTGGCTAGCCATGTGCTGACCTGGCACCCCTGCACGACGCCCCTAGTGTGGGATGACATGCTGCGGGACATGCCCCAGGACCAGCTCACAGGTCTGTCGCACAGCAGTGGGGGTGGGTTCCCATAGCTGCTTCAAAGCCTCTGACCCAGAGACAGACACTATAAGAGACGGGCCCAACATGGCTCCTAACTCCACACAGCTGCGCTCTTGTGCGTGCTCAAGCACAGCCCTGAGTTAATCTTCACAGGGTCAAGTGGGAATGATAGGTGTGGGCTGGAAAATAGCCACAGGCCTGCTGGGAGGTCTGGAGGGGCTCAGGGGCCACGCAGAGGGATGGATTCAGGGCCTGACTGTTGCTGCTCACAGGTCCATGAAGCTCATGTGTCCTGCGGCTGTGCTGTCCTGGCAGCTGCTTTATATGGCTTCTTAGGAAAATTGAGGTTAATTAGGGTCAACCCATTGTCTGTGTGTCCCGGGTGAATGGCCCCAAAGAGGGCTAGCAGGCAGGACAGTCTCCCCCTGAACTATAGTGCTGCCTTTCCTTCTGGGCAGGATGTTTTGAACAGGGGGCTGGGAAAAGGTGTCTGTCATTCCCACTGGGCAGGACATTGTGGACAGGGGGGCTGGAATAGGTGTTGTGTGTGGTGTGGCATTTGTCACCAGAAACTTAGCACAGTCCTGAGTGTCTGTCCTTAAAACAATGGCAGTGTGTCCGAGGAGCTGGGACACGGCCTGCATAGGATGCCCCTGTGCTCACAGCCCACTCTTTCCGCAGCATCTGGGGTACCAGAGCTGGTGGAGCCAGTGCTCTGGGACTACGCGGCTGACCTGGACGTGCACGGCAAGGGTTAGTGCCAAGTTGTGGGGATAAAGCCAGCAGGGCCTCATGCCTAGCAGGTGCCCCTACTCCTCCCCGTGACCCTGCACCCTGACTGCCCAGGTCAGCCCTGCCCCAGCCTCACCACCAACCTACCCTGAAGAGCCCACAGCCCCTGGACAGCCTTCTGCCCCTTGTCCAAGGCGTTTTCCTGATGAGCAGCTGAGGTAGGGCCACTTGCAAACTGCTCCAGTCCCTTTCCCACCAGGGTCTAGCCCAGCAGTCACGTGTCCCCCCGCCCCCACCTCCGGTCTGGACAGGCACGTGGCCTAGAATCGTGTCTGGGGCCCTTGCAGCCAGCAGTCTCTGCAGGAGCTACTCACCTGCCTGCTTTCTCACCCAGTGCTCCTCATGCACAAGTATCAGGAGTGTGGCTTCCAGCGGCTGTGGGCTGCCAGTGCCTACAAGGGTGCTACAGGGCCCAGCCAGGCTCTGCCCCCAGTTGAGCACCACCTCAGGAACCACGAGTGCTGGCTGCAGGTGGCAGGCGGTGGGCCAGCAGGCTTGCTGCAGGGCATTGTCCTGACTGGCTGGCAGAGGTAAGCCCTTGAGCTAGCCGTCCTAGGAGGCCAAAGGTAGCCCAGAGGGAAGCAGCTGTGGGGGGTTGAGCCTCTCATGCCCATGAGGAGATGCTACTTGGTGCTCAAAGTGACAAACATGTGGCCCTTTCCCTTGTGTGTACCATACATAAGGCTGTTTGCCTCCTGGACAGCCAGGGGACAAAGTTGGGTGTTTGGTAGGGAGGCTGGGTGGGTGCCCTAAGAGCAACCCTCAATGGGCCATCCTGCAGCAGGGACAGGTCATGGCCTGTCATACATGTACAGTGGCAGCAGCCAGCTCTGAGGAAACATCTAGAGGCCCCCAATGTCCTGCGTGGGCGGGTAGGGGTACCAGGACTATACCCAGGGTCTCTCCGGGCTGTGATGTCAGGGACCACTGAGCTTCACCTGGGCACTGAAGAACCTGAGATTCAGCAGGGGAGGTGCTCACCCCAGCAGTGGGGACCTTAAGAGTCCACCCTGGGACCAGGCCAAGCCCTGTCAGCCCTGCCTGGGACCAGCGCTGCCCTGACCTTCTGGGGCCCCACCTCCCTTCCTGTGGGTCCTTTGGAGGAGAGCCTTGGGGCCTGTGGGAGGGGACAGTGACAGGGATTCCACTGGCAGCAGAGCTGACCGCCCCCTTGTGGACAGGCACGACCACTTCTCCGTGTTGTGTGAGCTGCTCCCCGTGGGGGTCCCGTCGTTGGCGGCCTGTCTGCAGCTGCTCCTCCATGGTATGTCCCACCCAGAGAGACCTGGAGGGCAGGCAGGGCCTGCACCTGGTGCCCGGTCGCTTGGGCTGGACTGTGATCTTCCCCCTGGGACAAGCTCAGGCCCAGCTCTGCCACCACCTGCCGTCAGCACCTCCAGACCCAGGCCCTCAAGTGGACCCAGAGAAGAACATGTCTTCAATGCCCAGTCACACGGGCAGAGGCAGGAAGAGGGAGGCCTTAGCACAGGGAACCGTGGCACTGAGGGAACTGTGCCGCTGAGGCCAGGAGCCTGCTCAGGGATGTAAGGAACATGTGAGGGAGGCAGAGGCAGACACTGCAGCTTATTGAAGGCCCATGTCATACAGGGAAGTGAGAGGGTACAAAATACCATGGTTCTGAGCCGTTTATAATATACAGAAAGGTGCAGACCCATCTACCCACACTAAAGAGATGTGTGTCAGCATGTCTGCCGCAGCCCTCCTGCAGTAAGGATGCCCTTCCTCTCGCATGTGCTGGGCTAAGCCTTTTGCAGAGAGTGTTTTTCTGGAACACTGACATGGCAGTTTGTCCACCTGGTGCCTGCAGGAGTCCTGGGCATGGGTAGTCACAGGAAGGGCCAGCTGCTATCTGGGTGTTGGTGCTGCCAGCAGCACATTCTTACTTGTTTTCTGTCAAAATAATGAAAATACTTCACGTGTTTAGTGAGAAATGGCAGGGATCACGTGCCCTCCAGGCCTCTTTGGGGTTTGGAGGTGCCGATAGAGCCCCCACTATCCCCCCAGGCCCTCTCCCATCGCTTCCTGTGGTTGATTTCAGGAGGATTCTCTGAAGATGTCAAATCAAGAGTGGAGAACATTCTTGGGGTTTCAAGTGTGGAAACAGCCAGCCCAGTAAGGTAAGCTCCCAGCCTGCCGAGCCTCGACTGACTCTTGAGGGGCAGCGATTCTCAGTGCAGCTCTCCTACAGCGAGGGGGCCAGCTCCTTCCCTGGCAGTGACATCCTCAGCCTTGTCACACACTTCAGCCTGCATCTGCGCAGCTCCGTGGATGCACTGCTGGAGAGGAACAGGTGAGTGGTGGGTGTGCCCACGAACCCCAGCCCAGGGGGGTCTGCTTCCCCTGCAGATTTTCTAAGAGGAAGACTTAGAATGTCTATCAGATTCTTGGCTTGGCGCCTGTGGCTCAAGTGGCTAAGATGCCAGCCACATACACCT